GTTTCCTAAAATCCATGCAAAGTCGAGCCTCTGATTCTTCACGAAATAATCCTTGATTGACTGCGGGCCCGTTTCATCTCTAACCTACAAACAACCCGCCTTGACCCCCCCGAATGTCACAGCTTGGCAGGGACTTGGGTTGGATCCGACGACGCGTGTCCACACAAAACTGACCGTTTTCCGGAAGAATGCGAGGGATCCCACATCTCTTACAGCAGACCGCTTTTCACAGCGCCGATTGCTCCACCAAGAACCAACAGGCTGCCATACCGAGAAAAGCGACATGTACAGTAGTCTAGACTGTATTATTATCCCCAATTGAGAGAGCATGTATTCCTTAATAAAGGTTACTGCTGTAGTTCGTAGAATATTTTATAACTGCATCTGTTGGAACCGGCCGTCCTGCAGAAGATCGTACAGCAGTGGACTACACAAACATACACAAAATGTCCGATACCGGTCAGCGCAAACGGTACCGCTACTGCCCTAGCCTACTGCTGTGACTGCGCCGCCCAGCTGTACCGGATGATGGACGGAAGTTTTGAGATGCTGGTCTTGGCAACTACTTATGTAACTGCTGCTGTCAATTCACTTTCATGCTCTCACTCTCTCTCTCTCTCTCTCTCTCTCTCTTACCTGAGCCAGTGACTGAAGAACATCAGGAGTTTCTTGATGGACTTGCGCCGGCTCAACCATATCGAGGCCACCGACACTGTGATCAGGCTGCAAAAAAGCCGAACAGGGGTCCAGAGTGCTTCCCCGTCTTGGAGGCCGATAACCAAGATCCCGTCGGTTTCACACTTGAGCGTGAACATGTCCGCGTATAGAACAGCTTGCGCCGCTGGGCTCATCGAGCTGGATCCATAAGCCTCAGCGCGAGAAGATAACGAGGTCATGCTCGTCGCAGCAGCAGGTCTCGGCCGAAACACTTGACAGATGACAGATGATGCTTGGTGAATATGCCAGGCTTCGTCTCAGTCAGGCTTCGAAGATCCGGATCTGGGGCAGCATTGCCTGTGCGGGAGACCGCATTTATTTGAGGATCCATCACCGAATACCGTATATGTGGTGGATAAAATTATCGCTTACATGAATATGATATGACTTTGTTGAACCATTGCGTTATTTACTCAAATTCTCACCACAAGAAAAATGTGTCCTACTGGAGTATTCAACTCTTCACAAGTACCAAGACCGAACAACCAGGTTTGTTTGCATGTGCCCCGTGCTACTATTTTCAGAAGTTTACAAGAAACGCAGAAGCCCCCATGCCTCTAAAAGAACAACCCGGGCGCGCACGGCACGGATAAGGAGGACAGACGAGGCGAGGCGGAAACAAACAACCAACCTTCTACTCTACCGGCGGTCTTTTCATACCAACAGTGTACCTTTCTATTTCTTGCAACAGAACGGTCTTGTCTATAGACAGCGAGAATGAAAGCAATACCGAGCCAGCGGGCCCGTACGGCAAAACACACAGAGCTGCAGCACTGCGATCTTTGTAGCATCGTCATCACCATCAGCAAACACAACAGATCAGCGGTTTACCGTTTTCTTCCCTCGGCGAAAAGATATTCAATTGCCACTTTCGTACTAAATTAACACAGACAACAGTTAGTTCGTTGGTCAGTCAGTCAGTCGTATGCACATCATGTTCATGTTCTTGGATGTTGTCAGTTTGTGGTCGTCCTTGAGAGCGGAGGCGAGTCCAACCTTCCCGCCGTATTTCATACACACACAATCCACGGAGCACGTCGGGCATGTACTACTGTAGATAGAGTGAAAAGGACCGACCCAGCGAAATGATACCAACGGAGCAACTCTTCAACCGCTTTGTAATGATAAAGGGAGGGATTATTTCTTGACGTACGTACGTTCACCAGCAACTAACTGCTGTTCTTTGTTGTGGTCTGCGACCCACCAATCGGTTCCCGCATCCACGCCGTGATCAGGCAAAATATTCGATGCACCCATGGGTACGCACATACATGTAATGTGCCATGCACCCACAACTTGGGCCCATCTAGTCTACAGATCTGCACGAACACCGATACCGTTTAGTTTTCCATCCAAGAGCGACCTAGCCCTACTTCAAGGCCCGCCGACCTAGCACCTAGCCACGTCGGGACCAGCCTCGCACCTATCCAGGCGATATCACCTAGATTTATCCCATCAACGCCAATCTACAGTAGCACATCTATCCAAGCAGCAACAACCTGGAGCTTTCCACGTCATACAACACCAACCTATAGTGCCAATCCTTGCAGGACAAAACCTAGAACTGAACCACCCATCACAGGTGGAGGTCGACCCCCTTCCCCAATATGTCGAGTGCCCGCGCTCCCTTGTGGAGACCTTGTCAAGGTCGGACACCTTGCTTGCGGAACACAACCAAAGCCGGCCTCGAATGGCGAGAAATCGAATGAAATCGAATTCCCGCGCCCCCTTGTGGAGACCTTGTCAAGGTCGGACACCAGCTTGCTTGCGGGAACACAACCAAGACAGGCCTCGAATGGGGAGAAATCGCGATTGCCCCCCATTCGAGGCCTGCCTTGGTTGTGTTCGCCAAGGTGTCCGACCTTGACAAGGTGTCCACAAGGGGGCGTGGGCATCGGGCATATTGGGGAAGGGGGATCGACCTTCAGTGTTTTCGATCTGTCGAGGGCAATGGGTGCCATGGCTTTTTTGCGTACCAAAAAATAAAAAACTTTTTTCGCTACAAGATAGTCTAGTCTAGTTGGTACGCCGCAGCAAAACAGTGCCACACGGCGTGAGTTACTTGCGTCACAGGTTCCGGTTCACCGTGTGTGCCAGCAGGGTACGATACGGTGTATGCGGAGGCTGAATTAGCGCTTATATCACTATAATTGTAGGTTAACCCGATGCGTTATTTACTCAAATTCTTATTACAATAGTTTTTTCTGACGCTATGAATTCATTGCTAATCTGTCTCTGACTCTTTTCTATGATAGAGATGGATTCGTTGTGTCATATTAAGAGAAATAAATAAAAAAAAGTTTCCTATGTGAGTACAAGTATTTTCATCTACACAACTCAGATAGAACACCCAGGAGTGTAGGTGCACCGGGCTATATTTTGGAGAAGCTTACAAGAAACTTCAGGGAAAAGCGCGTCCCCTACCGACTGAAAATGCACAAGCCTCCATGTCTTTAAAGAACAGCCGGCGCGCGCGCGCGCGCCCGCCCGACATGTATGGGGGTGTGACCTACAAAACAATATTTTTTGTGTTGGTGCCACAGGCGTACATACCCCTCCCCCAGGCTCGGATGGAGCCAGCCCCGACGATGGAGCCAGCCCCGACCGACAAACGGCTCTCACACTACACAAACAAGACACCTTCGTCCTATCCACACATCAAAATATGTCGGGGCGGCGGCGGCGGCGGCCGCTAAGGGTACTTAGCATAGATACATCAGCGCGCGGGGGGTCTGAATGCTAGAGATGTAGTACTATGCAATTAACATGCGCCGCTGTGCAGCTTCTTTTCGGTGATGACGAGGAGGACCACGATGAGACGATGTTCATGCTGCTGTCAGCCTGGTCATCGTTGACTACAGAGAGGCGTATCAAGCGCCCTTACTACGCCCCCATCCGGCGAACGATGTAAACAGAGAGAGAGAGGTAGAAGAGGGATAAAGATACGGAAAATATCCTTGTGTTGGAGGGTTTGTTTATTCTTTGACGTACGTACGTGAACAGTCCACCGTTCGTTCTGGCCTGCATATATATTCTGCGCATCCACGCCCTTTTCGGCCTCAGCACGAAGACAGAACAACGTTCTCACTGGCAGCGCCTCTTTGAACAGATACCACTGATACTAAGACAGAGCAACGCGCTAACTGGCAGCGCATACACCGCAATAGACAGCAGTACATAGGCTCACGTCCTCTACCAGCCCTTGAGTGGAAACCTTGCGTATAACCGATAATAAGACCGGCTCGAAGGTCCCGCGCCGACGCTGCTGCGAAACAAACACTTGCCGGGTGTACAGCAGTAATCGGTCTCCAGAAAGGTCCATGGGCAGGAACGCAGGAACCCTGCCTAATTGTCTACGTGACTTTTTCGTACGCTGCCCATATTATGGGGATTGTGTGGGTACCCCAGCACGCAGCAGCAGAAAAGCTGACGCCCTCCGACGCTAGTCGATGTGATGGCTTGTGGAGCTTGTAGTAGCGAAAGCACCGCAGTACTTCTTCAGAGCGGAAGAAGATGGAGAAACTAAACGTTGTAAACACGCGGCGTCATTAGGTGGCAAACACAGACAGATACACCAGACAAAAGGTTGTAGTCTAGTCTAGGCAGTGCCAGCAGCATCCAAGGTACGACATGGACAGCTAAGGTACCCAGACAGTCCGATAGATCACAGAGAGAGACACAAATGCGTGAGGTCGCCGAACACCGAACGACAGAGCGTGAGTCTGTAGGTTCCTCCGCACATATTACGTTCCAAGCGACGCATGAGATAAAATATAACACATACGTCACTTAGTCTACATAAGCAGCAGCTGACCATTGACTACGAAGAAAGGAGATGCGTAGGCATTTCCATAACAGCCCACCCTGAATTGCGTTACAAGATCGTGTTTCATCAGCAGGACACCTGTGGGCGGTGCAAGGCAAACATTGCCATCGCCAGGACAATCCTTCCGAATTCCGCATATATATGTATACACAGCAGCTGCGAAGAAAGCGGATGGCAATCTGGTGGGACTGTAGTATGTAAACTAAACATACCGCAAAAATTGTTTGTGGTGGCGATATCTTCACGCCGTGGGCGGCTATGATCGTGACACAAGTCGGTTGATTGCTGATGTGGGGTCGGGTCTCAGTTCTTATATGTAGTGTCGAACAAAGTGTGACGGTTTCATCTGGCCATCCAAGTTATAGAACGCCCGTCGACGACGCGGCGGAATTAGCGGCTGGATGGTCGGATGATCGCCCACACCAGGCCGTTGCTGTGAGGCTGTGTGCTGTGTGCCATGGAAGGCAACAAAGACGAGCCTGCCGCAGGCCAGCATAGCAGCGGAGACCAAGAGGAGCTGCGACGACAACAGGCTCACTTGAACTTCAGTGCTTCACACCAGGCTCGACAGGCTGCTCGCCATCAAGCGAGGTGTGTTTGGGGGTGGCAGGCAACAAGAGAGAGACAGAGCCAAGACGCACTCGTGTGTACCACATCACATCCTTGGAGTAGCAGGTACCTGCGCTCACCAACGAATGTTTTGTTTCAATCGGCGCGGGGTGATGTCCATGCTTTCCCAGTGAGGCTGGCAGCAGTGTGGGTATCCGTACGGCGTCTCACGAGCAGCTTTAGCAGTTAGGGTACCAGATATAGTATAATATCTTGCACATGGCACGTTTGATGAGATGTGTTTTCAAAATTCCAACCGCTGCCGTATGAAACCACCCCCCCTGGACCGACCGTATTTCGCGAACCGATTACCTGCGAACCAGCGACGGTGCCGAAAATGTCGGCGTTGGAACCGTGCCGTCTAGAGATTGCCGAAAACGTGTCATAATTTGATTTTGGCATCCTCTTCGTGGTTTGGGGCAGTCGAGCTTTGAAGATCGGTGATGTGGTATCTACGACACCCACGGTAACCAACAGCAGATACGGACAGTACATGTATTTCCCTTCGATCTACCTAGCAACTTGTAGCTGGAGTTGTGGTAGCAGCCCACTCGCGAGAACCGGCTTTCCCATGTTCGTATTCGAACAGAAGGCTGAAGCTCTATTGTAACGCTTGGATCCCCGTGTTCTATCAATAGCGTAGCTCAATAGAAGCCTAGCTCTCCTGAAATATCGTTTGATTCGTTCCCGAATACAGCAACAATGGCGGCGAGGGCGATGTGGGCAATGATGACGAGGCGAGACACAACGAGGAAAGCGCTGCCCTTTTCAACGAGACTTTCACTGCAGATACTCAAGGTGATGAGAAGCATTAGTACAAGTGAAGGGTGCACGGCACGACTCTCTTTCCTGTTTCCTGTTCATACGCCCTGCAGTAGCCCTAGTGAAAGAGTCATACCGTACTGCAACGGCGACGCGTGCCGCTCTCGCATGAGCTAAACAGCGGTATTGCATTCCCGCCATTTAGACATCCCTTGAAAGGGCAAGTTTGGCCCGTCCCCATGATCATGTCTCGTACATAAGAATGATGCAGCACATGGTATGCCGCAATGGGAGGGGTGGCACCTGCATCCGGCTTTTGGCGTGCTTGCGTTCTTCGAACGAGGACAAGGATATTAAAGACGCCCCTCGTTCATCTCTCAGCAAGAGGGTGTAGCAATCATCATGGTACACATATAGGTGCTCTACCAACCGTTATCCACTATGATCCACCACCCATGCTCGCCGCCCGCGCGACCGCAGACATCACCAACACCCTAGACCGCCTCGTGGCTGAAAGTAAGCAACGGCCATCGCAAACAGCAGCGGGTACCGGCCTCGCCGGAGCTAGGCATGCCCACGGCGAAGCCAAAGCTCTACCAGGAAAAGGACATAGTGACACTTCTGCAGCACCGGCGGTTGATGGCGAGAGCGGTGTTCGCGAAGAGCTGGATGTTTTGGTGGACCGGGTGAAGGGGCTGCGGAAGCGAACCGCCGAGGCTACCCTGTTTTTGACTGTCTACGACCTCCGCAGGGCACAGGAGGTAGGTCCCTATTATTTTAGTACGCCGTACTGTAGCTGTAAATAACTCATGGTTCTGCCTGCTACTGTGCAAATAATATGTCGTGAATACGGAGAAGCGTCCTTGAAATGTTAATTTTACACCTCCCCCAGTTTCTTTGCGAGGTCAATGGTCTAACGACTACGGCATGTACGACTATGAATACACCCAGTTTCTTTGCATTCTGCGGGGCACCGCACTTCTGAAAAAATGACGTCCTTATAGCGAGAGTGTATTTCAGTTGCTGTTTTTTCCTGGAGGTGGGGACGACTGCTGTAACTTTGCGCTGTATGAGTACAACATACGCTACGTAGCCGGTATTTAGGGCGTTCGTGGCGGGGAAGCATGCATGCATGTGTCCCGGGGTTGAGAAGTGCCAGCAAGGCTGTCGCTGTAACAGCGTCCGGGGTGATGTGTGTCAACAATATCGCTATGTTGGGAGAAAATCATCTATGTTGCGGGTTTCGTTTTTGTGAAGACAACCTCGCTGCTTTTTATAGCGCTACCCCGTTGTTGCCGTGCCGTTGGGACGTACTGCTATACATCTTCCAAGTGTGCAGCGGCGGACGGTTAAGGTTTCTGCGCCACCAAACCTTCTCGATCGCCTAACTGATGTTTCTGCCTGTGCTCTTGTCGGCCTTGACCACAAGCGGTGGTACTGTCCACCGTGCCGAACTCGCAGCAAAGCATTGGCACCAAACAACAACAACAACAACAACAACAACAACAAAAACATATTTGTGTTGTCGTGCGAGCGTTTGCCTAGGGTCTTAAAGCCTCTGTTTGTTGCTGCGCGCATTGAATCAATCCAAACAGCCAACAAGACTATGGTACACTACGCCTCGCAGACCCCGAATATTCGAGGGGACGATAGTCGGCCTAGCTCTACGCCAGGGCAAGCTCGTCCACATCGCATTTGATCTTTCACGCACACTGATATTGGGGACTTGTTGATCTTGACTGGGACAACCGAAAGCAAAGATGGACCGTCCTTACTTGGTGTTGTTCGTCCTTGGTCGTTGGTAAAACACAGGAGGTCGGTCGGCTGTGGGCTAGCGTGGAGTCCACGCGGGCCGAGCTCGCACCGAGAAAGAGGTTCGCCTTTCGAAGCAAGGCCAAGGCTAAGGGGAGAGACGCGCGGAGAGGGGGCGGTGGGATTCCGGCACGGGAAGAGGGCCTAGCCAGGAAAAGGGTAGACGAGACGGGTGGCGGTAAGTGTTGACTGCTTTTTCGAGCCTCACGTTCAGAGCTGTCGAGCTGCATTGCGTGACAGCACAGCAATGTAGGGGTTGTTAACACACCGCTTGATCGATTTCGCGTTGGGTACGGAAGATCCGGAAACGTCTTGACTACGGCCGTTGTTGTTGTTGTTGTTGTTGTTGTTGTTTTTGATTTGAAGGGGACTGGACCTGTCTGCCTTGCGCGAGAGAAGCTGCGGTATGAGTCTGTCCCCGGCTGTGCGCTGCTGACTTTTTTTTTTCGGAAGGCGTTGTCATTCTGTGCCAGGCTGCTGTACCAGATGCCTAGACGTGTCGGCTGAAAGCGTGCAAGGCGCGTGGGCCTCTGATGTTGAGCTCGGCTTGGCCACATGCGGCGGTGAAGGCTATCGTTCGAACCGTTCTTTCAACCGGTGTTGGGCAGGGTGTGCAGATGGTTTCGGGCCCGGGGGCTAAGGCCACAAGCGACCTACCCGTCTCTGGACGTAGGTTCCTCAGTGCGTTGCCCATCGGGTACTTGGACACTTGTCTGTCAACGGATACACTCCAAGTCGTAGCCCCAGCTAGCGCCTGGAAACATTGCCATCGTTGGACACCCGTTCCAGGAGAAAAGGAAGCGGAGGGCGGACCGGGGATACGCGGGATGAAAGGGCGGGAGGTGGATGTCTCGGCAGAAGACGCCGACAAGGACAAGGACTTTAACGTCGCCGACCTCGACGACTGCAAGGTCACCATGTGAGTAGTGAGGGACAGCTCCACGTGTGTTACACCGCCTCTTCTCGTCCCGACAGCACTTCCGGGTCCTTTGGGTGGTGGCCAAGTCCTTGCCGGAACCCCCCCCCCTCCTAGATTGTAGATAGGAAGCAGTTTACGAGGTTGGCGCATGGCGGAGGTGGCAAAGGGTCGGCGTGATGATTCTCGGTGCTCGTATAGTGTTGTATTGAGAGGCGCATGTGCGGTGGGGTACGAAACTCCGGTGGTAGTACTTGAGCAAGTACTTGAAGAGATTGCTGAACAGGATGGTATGTTGCAGGAAGGGGTGATGCATCCCGAAACCGAGGGCATCGTTAACGTTTACAACGTGGTGCATGCATACGTTGTAAATTTGACAACGCCTCTTTTGCCGCCTTCCTGTCGAACAACCCGTGAGTTCGAAGCGCCAACCAATTTGAATCGACCCATGCCGGCCAACGTGTCCCAAACGGAACCCATCACCCGCGCTTTTTCCCACGGGCGAAGTTGCCACAGAGCCATGCGTGCGCATGGTCAGCGCCGGCAAGGTCGGGCTTTAGCTCGACGGTGGACCCCGACGGGACGGAGAACAAAAAATGCCGTCGTACAGTACCAAAACCTCGTCCTACCGAACCGACGCTTGTGTGCCCCCAGTACCATGTAGTTCTTGGTACACCAATGTACAGCGGTCGCCCCACCCCCGCCAGTCAAGTAGATATAGTGTTTGGGGTATTCGGCACTGGATACGGATCTACGAGGATTCTGGGGGTTACGTGGATTTGTGTTGGTAGGGCAGTTGGGATAAGGAGGGCTCCACGCTCTCTATATTATCTCCCTACCCTCCTACTGCTTACTACGTATCGAGATCCTGGAGTCATCCTTTTCTGTCTGCACTTCTGACAACAAGCAATCCGCCTCCAACAAAACTTTGTTTTTGGAGAGCGGACAGCTTGTTGTCAAGGAGCGCAGAGAGAAAAGGTTGATCACGGGACCTTGATATATACCAGGTATTAGACAAGAGTAGAGAGTACAGAGTAGAGAGCACAAGCTAGAGAAGGCGTGGAACCCTACTGGGGGGTACGTCTTCCAAATGCACCCCCTACCAACAAAAATCCACGTGACCCCCAGATATCCCCATTCCAGTGGTAGATCCGTATCGAGTGCCGAGTACCCCCAAGCATATAGTCCGGGGACAAGACCAACGATCGTATCACACATCTCGCCACCGACGCTACACTAACCGTTGAAACAAGCTACCCCGCTCGTGTACAACACTCGTGTACTTTTTTTGCTCCCGCCGCGCAGCTTGCACGTGCTTGGGGCTCTGAGGCTTCGCCGCCTGACGTCATGCAGAGTGGTGTGTGGGCCCGTGCGTGGGCCGATCTACGTGGAGGGGTGCAGAAACTGCGTCATTGTCACGGCGGGGAGGCAGGTTAGCACCACCACTGCTGCTGATGCTGCTGATGCTGCTGATGCTGCTGATGCTGCTGATGCTGATGCTTTTGTTGGCTTCCGAGTCGTTCGTCCCTGTACCGCTCTCGCTACCACGCTATATCGTATCCTTGTATGGTGCTCATCTTGCAGTACGGTCTGTCGTGGTGCGCGGCTGTAGCACTGCTCTGCCGACCTGTGTCGCATGTACCGTAGGTGACATGATGCAAGATATCACACCCCCTGGAAAGGTCAAAGGTTCGATCATTAATAAGCAGAAAGAGAGGCGGTGCCCAAACTGGAGACGTTGGAGTCGTCTCGGCCAGAGCTCCCGAAAACGCATCATTTGATGTTGACATCCCGTTCGTCGTAAAGTAGAACTTTGACATTCGGTTCAGGGGGTGTGATATCGTGCGTCATTTACTGAAAGTGCAAGTGGGCCGAGTCCCTTTGTTGCATGCTTGCAAGGTAGAAACGCAGCCCGGCTCATGCGAAGAGATCGCTTCGAAGGTCGTGTGTTCTAGGTGGGAAGCTCGGGTGGGGTGTCACATTGAAAGAGGGGTCGAACCATCACCGCAAGGTTGGTGTCGAGGGTACAACAGTACAGCGGCACGGGGAACACTACTGATGATTACCTGGCGTGCTCTCGAAGTTCCACCATGTGGCTGCCGCTGACATCGACACAAGACCTTCAGAACGAGACTCGGCTGTAGCGCGCTCACTGCTGAGATGACTATGCATAGCATCATAATATGGTACTACATAGCAAAAATGTTCCCTCCCCCGTGGCTTGTTTTGTCCGATTACCTCTGCAGCTGAGGATACACGAAAGCCGACACGTCGACTTCTACGTGCTCGTGGCCAGCGGCCCCATCATCGAGGACTGCAGCGGCCTCCGCTTCGCCCCGGCAGGGCTGCGGTACCCGGAGTACCAGCACCATCTACAGGTGAGAGAAAGGAAAGAACCAAACAAATTCGTTCGTGTCTGCGGTTCGGGTGTGTTTGGGTCAGTCGTGCCCCTTGTGTGGTGAAGCGCGTCCACATAAGTTTGTTTTGAGTTGATTGCCCCCTTTATAGTTTATTGCTGCCAGATAGCCTTCGGGAAATCCTCTGGGCCGTGTGTCATTAGCCCCAAGTTTTGGAGGTGATGGCATAGAACATAGCCATACAGCGCATACAAATACGTATATGTTGTTTTATATTGGTGGATTTTCGAGCCCCGTTTTTTTTTTCCGCATTGCATACAGTACGTAGAAGCACGACACAGGTCCGTTTCCTTTGGTGTCTACTTTGCTGTCGACCTGGAGCGGAAAGACTGAGTGAGAGTGAGAGACATCCCCCACCGCGCACACACCCGGACTTGTCCACTCGCGGGTGTGCTCTTTCCGGGCTTGAAGCAAACGCAAACTTGAAACCTTTGTTCTCCATACAGTACATGCTGCCTGCTATGTGATTGTGTCTTGTCTCTCTCGCCGCCTATGAACGAAACCGCAGGCAGCCGGTTTGGAAGAGGATGCGGTTACCAACGCCTGGGCAGACGTGAAGGACTTCAAGTGGCATCGTGCACAGCAGTCTCCCAACTGGACGGTTATCCCGGACTCGGAGAGGGAAAGCGATTCTCTTGCGATGGCGGCGCCGAAGTAGATACTTGCGGCGTCGGTTTGCTCGAACAATAGGCCGCGCTTCACACGGCTGTCGATGGCAGTTGCGACAATAGTCTGTCTGTGTTACGTGTAGGATCACTACGTACCATAACGCAGCAGCCAGTAAATGTCTTTTGAATATTTATCCGTACGCTCTGTCCAGGTGCAAGCCACCTGGTGGGGTACGAAATGCGCGAACGGTAGCGAAAGAAATTGGGGTGCTGTTTTTCTACGTTCTGGCACCGGCGAGGCCGGCTTCGATGTACAAGCCTACAGACGTTGCTGCGTATGTATGGCGTCGGAGAAATAAGATTGCCCTTTAGGGTTGCAGAGTTCTTTAGTCCATTTATTAGCCCGGCTAGATGGCAATTTGCTATGGGGGAAACAACTTTCTTGGTCAACCTTCCTTTCCTTCGCTGGGGTTGCATGGACTCAAAAGATGTATCCGTCTCAAAAGAAGATTTTGGGTCTTTGCTGCGTTGACGCTTACGCGTCTCACGAGCCACACAGCCGCCACGTAATTCACGCGTGCGGTTGGTGCATCTATACTACGTTTGATTCTACAACACCGAAAACCTACATGGGTTGTATTGTAGTTGGGTGCAGGCTTCCTGCAAGTGCTGTACGACATGCCTTGCAATGAAGTCCTTTCGCGTCACACTCTTGCATACTCTTTTGACCTCAGTTGTCAGAAAACGTCAACACCCTCGGAACAGTGACCGTGGCAGAATGTGAGCCAGCCTGGTCTCTTCGTCGTGGTATCAGGAAAACAATGTCCGTGAGTAGGAATGGTAACTGGGAAGACACGCGGTAGCGGCCGTGTCGGACTGGATCTCCAATCCAAACATGCTGCCGTTCGTTTACATCATGTGAATAGATTTTCGCATCCGTCTAGGAGCGCTGTGTCAATAGTGACAAGCTGCCACCAAGTCTAACAAGCAACGGCATGCTTTGGCTGCCATTCCTTACAAGACTTTTGAGTACCTGGAAACAGTCCACCTCCTCTACATCCTAGACCCGGATCGATTCGTGTCCTCCGGTGCTCGCGAGGCAAGCGCACGCACGAGCATTCGGATCTCGAATCCCTAAGCCTTTTCTCTAGACTATACACGACAACCACCCGGGGGGGGCGGGGGTACTACGCTACGCGCCTATCTCATAAGAAAGCCCCGTCTAACCTAACCACACATGCAAGACCGGCAGCCACACGGCACGTCTACCCAATCGCTCAGGCCACACATACAAGATGGGCAGCCATACCAACTCATGTCTTGCACATCTTCTCCCTATCCGAGCCCCAAAATTTCTCAAATTAATCGAACCAACACAGTAGTGAACTACACCACATCATCATCAGTATTCGTTCCCTATTATTCCTTCCTTAGTTGACCGCGCAGCCCTCTCTTCGAGCGGGGGCGTCGACGGCGTCTGGTGCGGGTGGAGGGTTGCTATCGCTGTCGGCGGTGGTGTTGTCGTTGCTTTCTCGTCTCCTCGCTCCAGAGTCCAACCTCTTCTGCCTCTCTTCGTGCACTGCACACGCGAGACACGAGACGGTGGTCAACCGATGCATGGACCATCAAAAGTTAGTGCTGGCCTATGCTGTTACGGCTTGCGGCAGTGAACATCATGTGCCGTCCTGGCTGCTGCCAAGACATGTCTTGGTTTTCGCCGAAGGCTAAAGTCGCTGTCAAGTTGTACACATGGCAACAACAGGGAAAAGATTCGGCACGCGAACTCATGGCGCGTCGACCAAAAGGTCCAGCACGTCGAGCGATTTGCGCCCCCCAAACCTTCTTCTTTGTGATGCTCGTTTGCTCGATAGCGAAAAACAATCACCACCCGCGGAAGAAAAGAAGCGCGGTAGGCATGTAATCGTAAATGAAGATCGCAGCATGCCACGTCACTCCGTCATACCGTGCCGCACAACACTGCACCGCCGTATCTTACCGTAGCGCAGTGCAACCGTACCGTACCGTACTGTACCACACCATAGCCTATCATACCGTAGCGCACTCCATCATACAGTAACATACCGTATCGTAGCAAACGCGTACCGTACCGCACCGCACCTAACATGAACATCTTGTGGCCACCCTCAGGATTCGGCTTGTGAGCCTCTAATATCGCGGAATCATCGTCGCACAGGCGTCCCCCGCTAGTGAAGATGCGCTGCAGAACCGCACAAAAAACATCAATGACGCATACAGCAGTAGCGAGCGAGAACGGCAGGTGCAATGCGGTTAACGCGGAGGAAGAGAGACCTTCTTACGTGAAACCGTGACCAAAAGGAGGGCTTGTTTCCTTCGCTTCTTGGAGGAGAGAGTGGTGAACATGAGATGAGCACATGAAGGCTTGAAAGGGTAATAAATGCGGAGGAACCAAGCGTAATGACGACATCAATAACAATCGAAGACTGGACAGCTGGAGTCGTCGCAACATTTCCGTCTTTACAGAAACTCCGAAAGCCTTGAGAGAAACGCGTGGAAATTGCAGAGCTCCGTGAGGCCTCTGCCGAAGCGCTAGTCAGAGCAATCAGGTGTGTGACAAATGCTCAAGCTTCAAAGTCACTTCGGGGTGTACTACAATACTCCGAAGTATGTATTTCATTACCGAAGGGTGATCAGGGTGGGTGCTGCGCTCTGGGCGGGAAACATGTTTGACATGCCCATCACAAAGTCGACCTCCTTGCAGTAGTGTCGCGCAAAGCGACGAGAGCATGGGGGGCAATGTACTTCCCAAGCACGCACGCTGCCGAGATTTCGGTTAACAGTTTACTTTGTGGTTAATCTGCAACAGAGAACGGGAAAAAGTGGTTATACTCATCTACCCCTTTCTTGGACAAAAGTGGGCAACGCTGACTCTACAAGTTGTTTCGCGGAGACCACTCATGAGAGGGCCGAACCTCTGAAAAATCCCGTTCCGACGAAGCCTTAATCCCGCAGCCGAGGCCCATGCACAGCATGGGTACCAAACTTCTTACGAGGTTTTGGGCACGTCCATAGCCCGAACACCGCACCGCGTCGCACAAGGCCTCAAATGGGTACCCGACGCTGTCAATCACCCGGTGTCTAGACTACACCCACCGAAATCAACCAGTAATGTTTTCAACCACGCACTCCTCTTGTCTATTTTGTGACCCACTTTTTCGTCCTTTGGCTTCCGTGCCGGGCCTCTAAAATCAACATCCCACGCCCTCGGTCTGCTTCGTGGCCCACTTTTTTTTTTTTTGTCCTTTGGCTCAAGGCAGTGCTAACCTCGAAAATCAACATCCACGTCACGGTTCTGGGGCACAGCTTCTTCGGACGTAGTACTGCAGCGATATGCTATCGCATCTTTCACAACCTAGGACGCCGACCGCGGTGGGGAATGCGAGACCCCTTACGGTGTGGTATCATTCACAAACACAGCAGACGGCAACATCTCTTCGATTGGAGCATTCTCTCGAACGGGTACTTTCTTTTACGAGATGTGCAGCAGTACACTAAAAACTACTGCTGTACAATTTTTCTCTTGAATAAGCGCTACAGCAGCACGCATGAGTTTGTCCGGGACGGACGATGGATGCGGATCAACGCAACTCCTGCATCCACTGAAGAAGGAGTTTCAACACATCCCTTGACTGCTGTGGAATATGTACCGGGAATAACGAACAGGTAAACCGCTTCTTAATAATTTTAATTCTATTTTCTTAATATGACCCAACGAATCCATCTCTATCTAAGAAGAGAGTGTAAGATAGATAAGCTATGAATTATACTTGTAGAGCGTCGAAAGCTACCTGTATTTATTAATTTAAATGCTTACACAGACAGAGGCTTACACCCATTTGAGATTTACCCACGTACATGTAGTGAGCGAGTAGCGGGTACAGCAGTTTTCTGTTCTAAGAACGATCTGAGGAACGGTCGGAGAGAGAGAACAGGTCGAAGGCCTGTGACGCGCGTTGCAATCACTCAAGTCGAGCACACCTTGCTCCTTCGCATCGCAGCTCTCCTGCCGTCTCCTAAGAATGCTGTCTACGTCGGCGGTAAAGAAGCAAGTTCATGTGTACGTAATACTGTTGTTGCCTACAATTACACGCGGAAGCTGCAGCCGTCGAATTTTCGAATTCCTTCGCAAAAAAAACTCTCAACAACCGGTTGGCAGTTTGATATCTTCTCACTTCGGGCTTTGCACCGGTGCCTGCTGCAACCAGTACTTCTGTCGTATCCATGGCCAACACTGCCACCTTGGTCGAACTCCGCCCCACGCACCCCTTTGTATCGTTCGCGCATGCTCACAATCGCCTTCTAGAGTCGAAATAGGTGCGGGCAACCTCAACCGTTCGAGATTCAAAATGGTGCCTTGCTTTGGGACTGCATGGGGAGTGATGAGTGATGAGTGATGGTGTTGTTGGAATATATGTGCACGACAGAAGAATAACAGCAGCAGCGCGCGTGACAAAGGTGAGCACCGTGCGTGGAAACCTCTGCTTCAGCTTCTCTATGACAGCCGAACCCATCGCCAAACACAACGACCCAAACAGCGCGCGTGGGGGACGTGAGCCTTGTATTTTTTTCAGTACTGTACCTGGTGGATCACGGGAATGTCTGTCTCCGAGAAAATGGCAGATTTCAGGTCGCCGACAGTCTGCACGTGGTCCTCGAACGTGAGCAGGCCGTCGCCCGGCAAGTATGCAAAGCTCCCTCCAACCCTGACCACCATTCTCCCCCTGGAAAAGCTGTGTGTGTGGACCTGTGGACTGCGTGGCGGCCAGAAGCGGCAGAATGCGGCCCAATTTGAATGGTGGAATTACATATGTGGGTACCCCCATATGGCCATCTGTGTCTCCCCCACCTCCACCAAGCAAAGCAGCACAGCACAGGGTGACAGAACCACTTGCTCTCATCCATTTTCCGCGCCCGCTGGAGCACATGTCCTAGGATATTTCGCAGGTGAGTGTAGGCTGTGGAAGGGAGAGGTGCAATCTTGCTTCGAAACACAACGCTCGCTTACGACTGGAGAGCGGGGGGGCACGCATCGTACGCGTGTTTTGTGTGTGTTGTACTTACGTGTTGCCCTTAATACCCAGTGTTTATGAGGGGCTTGCTGTTGCTTCTGTCTATTATAGCAGTGGTATGCAAGTAGCAGCCTCTACAGCTTGTTGTGCTGTGGGTGGCTGCTGCTCTGTCGTCGGAGGGGTGCCCAGGGAAAAGTTAGTGCCTAGAGTAGAGCGGGGTACGATAGACAAGCACGGCATGCGGTGCTGACGACACAAACTCGGTACTGATACAATAGATGTTCAATAATGTAACTTGTAATGTAACCAAGTTCTTACCAGCATATTATTAATAGTTCTGTTTCCTTCACAGCTGGCTGGTGCAGTCTCTCGTTCTCTCGGTTCTCTCGTGGTACAGTAGTAGCTTTCCTGGTGCACTAAACCGTAAATATACATACTACAGCAGTGTTGACGACAAATCGCGTCTTGGTGGTCTGAGCGCACGGCAGGGCTTTTTGACCTGTCTACAAATTTGAGCACACCTGCCCTCTCTGTTGTTTTTGGTCTTTCTTACAACGTATCTACAGCAGTGTACCAGTACATATGAAACCAACGTAACAGCTTGAGGACACGAAGGTGGAACATGTGGAGGCACGGGACTACATACAGACTAATTTATGTTATCTACAGCAGTAAACACTCGCATGCCATACATTTGATGGGGGGACGGCTGGACTCTCTCAAAGAACGCTATGTTATCACTTCACACCTCCCGTTACTCTTGTACCTCCCGTACACCGTTCCGATCGTACCTCTCAACATCTTACATACGTACAAATATAGTTTTCTGTATAAGGAGTACCGGAAAATATCCAGCTATGACTATATATTGAAACGCGCACGTTCCGTGGTCAACGGCTAACTGCTCTTAATAGGGTGCTTTTTTATTTTTTACATGCCATCCTATGTGCGGTATATCTACTTATATGTTTGTTTGCCTGCCGCCGCGGAGGTAATCTGTACTTTTGGTTTTTTTCTTGGCACACTCAGGAAGAAGAACACCGGATATATTTGGTATGTAGAGGTTTGAAAGGTTCTGCCGTGCAGATAACAACAACACGCGTTTGGCGTTTGTACGTGCTTGAGAACATGCCGGCCACGATAAGCTTGCGTATCCTCGCTTTCTCATGGCAAGTGCAGGCATGCCATGTCATGTTGTGGTCCTGCTCTACTTTAACGCCTTTGTTTGAAATCCTTTGCTGCTACAGTACTCTGTCTTATATGTTGTAATCTCATCCGCTAAATCACGTACATAGCGCACATTAAAACGTACTCCCATCACACGCCCATTCTCGTACATGACGACTCCCATGGAGTGAATTTTCGTCGACGACTTCTAAGCCGTTGCCGGCAATGTCTCCCATTGCCCCAACAACAACCGACCCACAGAGAGGCTAGAGGACGAATGCCACGAAAAACCTGAGCAGAAGAATAGAAGCTTCTTCTTCAAGCTTCTTTTTCTCTTGCTCTCGCTTTCGTGAGCGACCTCCCCAATACTTGGCCGCGGCGGCATTGCAACGGAGGACCTAAAACAAGAAATGCCGAACAACAATGGCGACGGTCCGCAGACAAGCCAGGCCGAGGACGGCAGGGGGGACTCGGAGGGGAGACAACAGCTAGGATCGGAGGGAGGAGGGATCCAAGGGTATGGAGAAACAGGGGCCGCGGTGAGCTTGGGCCTCAAGGAGATCCCTTCGGGTCAAGTTTCTACTCCGCGAGGAAGGTTGGTGCTTTTTTCGTGCGTGTGTGTGTGTGTGGGTGTGTTTCTTGTTAGCATAGACCGTGCCAACCGGCCGACCAATGAAATGACGTCAGTCTCAGTGCGGCTGAAAACAGAAAATGCTTCTACAGGTACAATCTGGGACCCTGTGACGGGGCGTCATGGGGGAGTCTACGCTACTACTGTCAGGATGAAATCAGGATGAAAGACGTAGTATGTGTGTGTGTTTCTTTTCTAGCGTCGACCCCCACTATGCGGCTGACCAATGAAGACGTCAGTCTTGTAGCGGGATAAAAATATGAACACTTGGGAATCAAAGGGTAAAGATTCTACCGACATGTGCATGTGTGTATCAGCATCGGCCGCGCTAACCGGCTGACCAATGAAAATACTAATACTTGTTTCCCAGTCCGGCAGAAGATAGAAAATGCTTCTGAACGCCATGATCTGGGGTCCCGTAAGGGGAGGTCATGGGGGAGGCGAAAGCTACTCTGGATGAAAGACAGACACGGTAGCAAACAGAGGAGAACGGCGCTTGCCTCCCAAGGCTGCTACTAAGCAATCATGTTCGTTTCGGGCCGCGCGTGTGATTTTTTTCATTGGCATTTCCTCCGGAGGTATGCCGGCTGGGCTGGCACGCCGATTGCTCGGTAGTGCTAGTTATGCTGCAGGGCGTCCTGCTGGCCTTGCAGCGAGCGAGGTGGTTGCCAATCGACTTCACAGAACTTATGCAGGGCGATTTGGCCGGCCTTATTTCTGCGGCCTTTTGAAACGACCACTACGATTGCTCTCTTCCCTAGAGCCTGACGTACTCCGTATGTTGGGTTGTGATGTATCACGACGTTGAGCAACCGAGGTTTGCTGTCCCGTCTGAAGTGCCCGCCTTCGTCAATATCTTTGTCTTGTATCAAGTCGTGATATGTCGAGTCTCGGGGATCCAAAACTTATTCCTTTGCTTCTGCACCGTATTGTTCGCAGCACAAGAAAGACTACCATGCCGAAATTTGCTACCCTTGCTTCGAAAGGGTTTTCTGGACGTCGGGCTCTCGCGTTGGCGAGAACAACGAGCAAACAAGTGGCACTACAGCAGCAGTAGCCCCTGCAGTGCATGGAGAACAAGTACAATTGGTCATACTTTACCTGTGTAGCATGAAACACAATGGGTCCAAACATCGTCACCCCCCCAGGGTGGAAACCCCGTCTCTGCTATTTTTCACGGCACGTGTATGTCTTGGACGAAAAGCACGGAAGCTCCTTGCTGTCGTCAAAATTGTTTGAGACTAACAACAAAAAGTTGCCGACGAACACGTTTGGATGTACTGGTAATCTGGGGTGCTGCTGCTCTCTGGTTTTTTCGACGACCCTTTTTGTTGCACGTACCAAAAAACCATACATCCGACGCAATCAATCGAGCATGTTTTTTTTTGTTTTTTTTGTCGGCGTCAGGTCGAAGTCCTTGACGAACGTAAAGGGTGCGGACAACGTTCTCGTTCCCGAGGTAGGGACGGCGTCCTATCAGGTGGCCCTGGCGAGCGGGAGTGGCGAAGCCGCGGCGGACGACCTGTACATGGAGGGGATAAGCCTAAGGAGAGGTTTCGCTTCTGAGTTCATCGCCCACCTAGAGGTAGAGTGAAGCTCCCGGACGCGCATGACATTGGTGACTCAGGATGTCACACCAGCTGGTCTGATTTTCGAAGCTCCGTTTCTCCACGGCAGAAAAAGTACACAGCGTGGCAGAGAGTGTAAGTGTTGGAACAGCCATCTATGGTCGAACGCGTTCCGAACAAATGGATTCTACGTCTTCTCTGTGGTGGAGTAGTGAGATCTGAAAATTGGTTCTGGGTGTGTAGTACCTTGTGTCACCTATGGTATGGTGGTAAATAGATAATTGCTGACCGTGGTCTCTTGTGTCCGCTGGGGTTGATGCCCTAGGGTCACCTGGACGATGCTTTGGTTTGTTTGGTGGAGGTTTTGCGTTTGACTCCGTTGCCGCGGTCGGGGTGCTACTATGTCGGGGGCGAAGGTGTACCACCCCAGAGCCGTTAGTATTGTCGCAGGAGCAGGATTCAACCGGGTAGGCTAGTTGGACTTGCGCCAGGTGATTTCTTCACTGTGTTTGGGCCAGAGGTTGTCGCAGGGTCAACCGAGGTGTACAACAAACAAGAGGCGTAGGAGAGCCAGCTCTTGGCCAGATTATGCTTGTCGGCCATGGGAGTGACTGGGCTGTCTGGTCGCGGGTAGCTTGCACGTACAATATGCTGCATTCGTCGCTGAGCTGAAACTGCTGCTGCTGCTGTCACTGCCATGCGGCACACAGCAAGCGGATGTGTCGCAGCTCACGGTGTCTGAACCCCCGCGTACGTAGTGCAGACACCGTGTGGTAATTCTCGACGCGAAGGGAATTGGACGGACAACGGCATGCGACGGGCACCAGGGTACTAGTAATTGTTTTTTACAGTATTTACCATTGCCTGCCCCCGTCCGCCTGTGTAGTCAGTGCGAACGGCGGCGTCGGAGTCATGGTGATGTCGCACGCATGTGGGTGCGTATCGAAGCACCTTGACGTCGCACCTATCGTATCTATCGGTGTCTTCTTTCGTGCCACGCGCCTGCACCTGAATGGTTCATTCAGGTACCCTTCCCTTGTAACGTGGCTCAACCGCACCTGTCCGCCAAAGCCTTGATGTCTCAACTGCCGCCTTCACCTTGTCGAGTGACTAAATCCTACGTACCTCATCACACACGTGACTCTCGGCTGTTCCCATCCACCCATCCATCATCCATCCCCTACGCCTTTCCCTCAGGATGACACGCGAAATCTCTTCCTGTTTGACGACGATGACTTCGCGGTGAGTGAGTGAGTGGGTGACCGGTGCATGCCATGCCATGCCATGCCATTTTTTTTTTTTTTTTGTCTTCGCTTCAAAACGGCGCTCAATGCACCCGCGCCGTTTCCTCCAACCCGTGGTTAGACAGAAGGGTTTTACCCCAGCCCACCCCTGCTGCTGTACACTTTGCCTTCGATTTTTAATGCGAGAAGAGTGCAGCACTCTCTTCCCTCTGTGTACGCACGAACTAGCGCTGTCCACTAGGCCAGGAACGGAAGGGAGAGAAAAACTCACTTTGCAAGAAAAGCTCGCTTACGCTGGGATCCGAACCCCTGACCCTGGCCATTGGAAGTTTTTTCGACGATACCGACTAGACCACCTGGGCGACCGGCTTGCATGCCACGACAATAGACATGCACGCAAAGCAAGTTAGACGAATGAGGCACATGTATGCAGAGAACCATCAACCTCCGTCAGAGGGAGAGATGAGGTGGGATCGTTCATCGCGACGTGACGCAGAAACAAGTGAAGGTATTGCCGTAGCGTAGTACATGGTAGTATGTTGATGTACCGTAGAGACAGGTATCGATTTCCGAGTCACCGTCAGGCTGTTGAGATGCGCGTGTCCTCTCGTGTGACTTGGTGGGTGGTCGAGAAAACATAAGAGGGTAAGAGGATAGTGAGCAGCCATGTAAACTATTCTGAAAACTATTCATCCATTTGAGTGTGGAGCAGTGAGGACATGATCGTAATTACGTTTTGTTCTTTGTTTTTTGTAACCTTTTCTTGCCTTTGTTCGTGGTGCTGTATGACAGGAGGACAGCGAGACGGCCCCGCTTTGGCCAGGCAAGGGCGGGGGAGGAGGGAAAGGGAAGCCGCAGCTAGAGAGAAAGGTCTCCTCCAGGTCGCAGGCAGCCGTGTCCAGGGTAGTCGTAACGTTCCTCAAGAGCATGGTCGGAAGTTACATCCTCTACACCCCCAAGGTGCCTGCCTGCCTGCCTACCGTAGTCAGTCGCTGTGCCTCTGCTGCGCGTTAGATATCACGTGGTGTGTAGAAAGGGTTGATTCAGCTAAGTTAAGTTTATGGTTTGTCGTTTGCGGGGTGCGGTGGCTCATCCGTGTGTGGTGGTTGGGCATCTTTGCTGCTCTAGGGTGTTGGGGCTCACAGGGAAGGGGCTCCTTTTTACTCTAGTCGAGGGAATTGTACTGATGAAATCGATGATATTGCTTTCGATCGCACCCCATGCGGGATATTTTGTCGCTGCTGCTGCTGCTGCTGCCGCTGTGGAAACGTGATGTCACCCTTCTTTTTTGTGGGGGTTGTTGGATATAGTGTCGCTGCTGCTGCTGCTGCTGTGCCAATGAAACGTTATGTCGCCCCTTGTGTTTTTTTTATGTGGGTGGTTGACGCGGCAGATGTTCCAGAACGGTGGCCTGACGGGCTTCGATGCTGAGCCTGCTCTGCGCCGCTTGGGTAGCTTGCGACAACATGATCGTACTCGTCCGCTTGGCCGAGAAGACTGGAAAAAACTCGTACGGACAGGTGAGAGGAAAAACTCGTACGGACAGGTGAGAGGGAAAAACTCGTATGGACAAGTGAGAGGATTGAAGGGTTGATTTCAATTAAACCAATGCATCCTTGTCGGTGATGCTGCAGCTGCTGCTGTTGCAGTTGTGGTTTTTGCATGTTGAGAGGTGAACGGAAGTGTGAAAACCCTCAAGTCACCGCAGCGTACGTATGCATGATTTTGCATCGCTAGCACAAGAGCGGGTTATGCCTATCTATTGTATTTCCGTCCGTCAAAATTCTGGTTGTGTCGACTGCTCGTTGTGGGGATGCCACTCTCGACCTCGCTGTAGCTATGGTTGTGTTGGTGTTGCCGTTGTACTGCCCCGCCGGAGGGTTAGGGTCGCTTGGCGTCTTTTGGGTGCTTGGATGGCACAGGGGTTGGCCTTGCTCCCCCAATTTATGCATGTTTGCGCTCGTTGTCTGCCATACGTAGCATTGTCTCGCATGTTGCCTTTGGCTGCACACAACACGCAGTGGTAGCCGTATGCAGCGTTGGTGCATGATGCCCTTGGTCGCACTCATGTTTACCTAGCGTTGCTGCTCATTCGAAGGGTGTGTCTCGTTTACGACACTCCTAACCTCATCTCGGAAGCCGTATTCACGATGACTGGACTGCCCACGCAACATAAAGTATGCTTGTTACGAAGAAATACCAGACAGGGGGGTGCGCAGACCCCATCACCCGAACCCTATCCGCAACTCCGCCGATTCTATACTTTATCCAGTATGTTTACGTGGTTGGAAAAACCTGTCTAGGCTATTGCGACGACTCCTGTACCTTTTTCTGTCTTTTCTTTCTTTCTTCCTTCCTTCTCTGCAGCTGGGGTATGCCGTCTTCGGCAAGGTGGGTCAGCTGCTGGTGGACGTGTCCTTGGTGCTGTCCCAGCTGTCCTTCTGCTCCAGCTACTTCATCTTCATCGTGCTCAACATTCCCAGCGCCCTGCCTGTCCCACCCCCCGGGTCTCGATTGGAGTACCTCCTTAGTCCTAACGCCCTCGTCGCTATGCAGGTGACCCTGCTACACCCATGCCCCTAATAGTGGAGATATGGCCGGAATAGACAATACTAGTAATCGTTGATTTTTGTTTTTTATGTTATTTTTTTTTTTTTTTGCCCTGCCTGGGTGCTGTTTTGCGCCCATCCTCGGTACACGGTACAGTATCCGCAGCTAGCTCCCTTGCTGGGTAAACCTGAACCTTCTCCGTTGCGTGCGTTTCGAATTGAAGATGCGACGACGATTCGTGTCACCCTCGCCTAGCTCACTCGCCACCCGCGACACTCAAACTATTCGTCCCTCTGCTGCTATTTTCGCTGCTGCTGCTGCTGCTGCTGCTGCTGCGATCGGACGAACCACCTCGCTCGGCGTCTCGATGGCATTGCAACAACGCACACGTACATGATGAACTGTTTGTCCGCCATTCCCTGATTTGGTGACTGTCAGCTGTTGGTCTACATCCCGATGGCGTGGATAAGGCACCTCAAGTACCTCGCGCTGGTGAGGAATCAAGAACCAAGGGGAACGGGGTTCCGTGGTATGCTTTGCTATGCTATCTACGAGACAACGCGGCCGATACATGGGCACTTGTGGCAGTGTTGCTGTCGGCTCATGGCTCATGCTTGTCACCGTCTTTGTTTGTTGTTGCCTACATGGGTGTTGATTCACGTGACGGAGGCTTAATGTGCGCCAACGGCATTTTGGTGTCGGCTTACACGGATGCTGTTGTTTTTTATTGCGTACACGTATTCAGGGGTGTTGATTCATGTTACGAGGCTTAACCCCTCCTTTCCGTTTGCCAGTATTTCCAAGGGATTGAAGGGATGGATCGAGTCGAAGCAGAAGCAACACCCCTGCTTGGTCGTGCAAACCGAAACAAAACACTCCGCACCCTCCCGACTTTCTGACTCATGCTCGCTGCATGCCCGCCGGCATGGCTTTGTCATCGTCATGTCATGTCATCGTCAGGCAATGTTCGGCGCCAACGTGTGCATGTGGTTGGGTTTGATTCTGATCGTGGGCATCGATGCGGAGTTGCTCATGAGAGAGGGGCCGGAGCCAGTGCTGCAGTACAACCTGGACACATTCATAATTTTTGTGGGGGCCGTGGTGGTGTGCTTCGAAGGGATTGGGCTCGTCTTGCCGTTGCGGGACAGCATGGAGCCACACATGCGGGTATGCATTGGTACAAGAGTAGTTTTGTACGCCACTGCTGTGCTTTTCTTCGTCGGTTTTGGTGATCTTCCATCGCTGTTCTTTCTAGTAGCGCGATGCACGCTCCTGGCTGATTATTTAACAATCGTTCAGGTTCAATCGCTCATCTTCAATCGCTGCGCTTTTTCTAGCGCCATAGGTACATTCAGGTCCGATTTTCAATCGTTCATTTTCAATCGTTGTGATGTGTTTTGTGTCTTGGTTGTTCTCCCTGTTGATCTTCAGTCGCTCATCTTCAATTAGTCTGTTGTTATTTCTATGTCAATGCATGTACTCCGCTGACTCGGTGCGATGCTTTGAGCAGTCTGCAATGGTAACAGTGGTACCGTTGCTAATGTCTTGTTTGCTCCCGGCGTGTGGGGATTCCCATGTCCTTGAGTGCAACACCACTACTACAGTAGTGGTATAGTCTTTTTTTTTGTGCTGACCTAGCTCGCCTTCCTTTGACGGCCGCTCGACGGAAACAAGGTACGAGAAAGACAGCAAATTCTCGTTCTAATATAACGCCTTCCTTGCATGCCTTTGGAAACCTCCAAGTGATATTACGTCCGGCTGGCACCCTGCTCTGGGCATCGGGTTCTGCCGCTCACTGTTTTTTTTTTTTTTGTGGTGCTGAGTTCCCGTGCGGCCGTATACAGTATCGACTGAAAGCTGATGCCTCTCAGCCCCTTCGTCTCATACTCTATCCCTAGGCGAAACGCGTTCCTTTCGTTCCCTTTGTCTCTACTGGTGAGCGTAAAGCGTATACCCGGAACACGGTGTACATGCTTTTCACAAAACCTACAGCTGTGAGTTAGAACGCCTCTCTCCCTCCCGTCTGTCAGATGTCGATTCTCGACGCTCAGAAGTCCCGACGATGATGCTTCGATTTTCGTTCTTGCTGCATGGTGCACGAATAAACCAACCCAGCATAAATTTCCGGGCGTGGTTCGAGTTGCGATGCTCTTCCTCGCCATCGTCTTCTGCATATTTGGCTGCCTAGGCTACCTGGCCTACGGAGAGGGCATTGAGGTGAGGTGACAGACGCCATGTGCCATTGCTTTTACTGGAAATATTAAAAAACGTTGATGTGATTTTGTAAAAAACTACAATAGTGAAAAACTTCGGAATTTACCGTGGGTGTTGCTGACGTCAGTCGGTGGTTTTCCGAAAGTATCGAAAAACTTCAAAACGACCGTGGATGTTGCTGACGTCAGTTGATGATGTTTCTTGAAAATTGCAGAATCTTCGAAATTGAGCGTGGAAACTGCTGACGCCAGTGAATTATTTTTCTGGAAATATTAAAAAATTACCAGAAACAATTGAAGGTGGATGCTGCTGACGCCACGTTGTCGTTACTCTTCTATCTCACTGCTTGTGGACGACGATTTGGATGCATTGATGATGATGAGTTCCTGATTTTGTCTGCTCCTTTCTAGGGAGACTGGCTTAGCGTTTGTGTTAGGGTGTACTCGCGCCCTACCCGCTGTTGCTGTTGTTCTTGTCGTTACGGAAGCCGTTTGTTTCGACCTCAATCCAGCACGTGAGCATCTGTAGATTCCAGAATGCTTCCGTGGATACCCTATGTCATGCGAGCATGTCGGGTGATATCGTATGGGTGTGAGCGCTTGATCAGTGCTAGAATACTCCCCTCCCACGACACAAGCCCCTGCTTGTAGCATACAACATCTCCTTCCTCCCTCTCTCTCGTATCCCTTCCCCTTCCCCTCTCTCTCCCCCTTGCTCGCGTTTTTGATTGCCTTATCTCGTTTTGGTTTGTCTGCCCCATTCCATCGATGGATCCAATGGATCCTACCCAATGCATCTTGTCGACCCAGACGTTCGTGACGATGAACATCCCGGCGGGGCACCCCGTAGGCGCTCTGTCCGTGGGTCTCTACAGCATCGCCATCATGATGAGCTACCCCCTGCAACTATTCCCTGCGGTCAAGTGCTTGGAAGGGTGAGGGGCGAAGGATATCGAACTCACATGACGCTTTTTCGACTCAAGAATTTGTCTCCTTCAAGCTGTTGAGAGTTGAAAATGGAAATGTCAAACGATACATATGTACCAGCATGAGTAAGTGCTGTGCGGTAAGCTGTGCAGTGCACCGAGGTGTTCGTTGAGTTTAGTGTTTTTCCAGGTGCAGACCACGCTATGGTGACCCCGGCATGGATGGGCACCGAACAAGTTTGCGCCGCTCTTGCACAGGTCGTGTGCTTTCAATTTTTCAAAGCACTTCTAGAGGGGCAATACTCCAAGTATTCCAAGCGTGCCGTTCGCTTCCTCTCTCGCGGGTACGTACACAGAATTACAAAGAAGTGGTTGAGAAGCAACGGCGATGCAGGGGTCAGGCAGGTTTTTTCGGGCGCACCATTGTTTCAGCACGAGAGGGTGGTCCGTTTGCCTCCATCATGCAATAGATTTATCTGCAATTCTGCCTTTTTCTGAAACAATTGTTTTGGCTTGCTGCGTACAATGGTGACACCGAATCGAATGCGCGATCCTTCGCTGAAGCGCTTTCCACAGAAAAAGACTTTGAAAACGGACAGTAAGTAGGTGGCCCGATATAGCAACTTGAATAACGGAACTGCCGGTATAGTGGCGTCAATATATCTTGTCACAATCTCGATATGTAGACGAACCCGGTACATCGAATAGTGGCACTGCCCTGAACAGTGGCACATTCTCCTCTTGCCCCTACATGCCACGATGTCGGGCCACTTACTGCAGAACGTTTTGCCGTCACCAGGTCTTGTGGCGGATTCTGAATACCGTTCTATTTCATGTCCTCTTTGTTTTTTTGTTTTTTACTTGGGATGCGTTGTCCTATTCAACATACAGCATCGGACGTTGCTCTTTGCTGTTGGTTGCCACACCACCCACCACTCCGTTGGCATCCAATACATGAGAATAAAATGTTGCGTCGTTTCGCGCCTGAAACGGCAGACACCTGTTCGGCGCACTGCGGCAAAGGAGCTTGCTGAGGAAGTGGCTCAAGAACACCCTGAGAGCTGCCGTGGTGCTCGCGACGGCCGCCTTCGCCATGTTCGTCGGGCCCAGGTGCGATTGTTTACGGTATAGTGGTAGTATTGTATGCATACTAACGCGACGGTGTTGTGGGAGCACCTCGTGGCCTTGGCGGAAACTTGCTCGCTGTGTGCTCGCTGTTTGCTCGCTGTTTGCTCGCTATTTTTTCTTCAAAACATAACAAACTCATCTCAACGCAGATAAAGGAGTACGGGGTAAATTACCAACGATTTTGTTATAGTGTTGTACGAGGAACGGCTTGTATTTCTAATGTTACCCGAGAGGCATATGGCGGTATCTCCCCTGTGGATAGCAGGCCCAACAAGACACATGTTGTGTATCTGACTACCATGTGTTGTGCTGGGAAGGTGTAAAGGAAGAAGCTGGGCGATTGTTATTCTAGTTGTTGTACGCATACCCTTGGTTGAATGTCCACAGCAGAACACACATTGTCGGTGTGTGCACTTTCCCTAATTGTGTTGATGTGGCACAGATGGATGTTGCATGGACGAATGTTGCATACGCGCTCCTTTGTTGCGTCGCGTTGTGAATCGAGGAATATATGTATAGTACATGCAATATGAGCAGGGTTGGGCAAGGTAATCATCGGTGCTGCAGGATGTTTTGAGGGTTCCTGGCTTTGTAGAGTATATTTTGAGGCAAACGGTAACCGAAACCTCGAGACAATGCCAACAACGCGAACGGTTGCGAAACGCCCGGCCGAAACGGCACTAACGCGGCGAAATTAGACGAAACCGGCCGAGATATGAACCGGTACTTCAAATACATTACCTCCTCGCGCAGGGCTGCCTCCAATCCGAGGTCCGATTTTTCCTTTAAATGTGCGTGGTTGGTTACATGGAAGTATTCTCCAACTCAAACGGGACAAGAATTGCGTTGTGCGAACAGGCGGCGGGCGGCTTTTCCGAATTCCTTGCGGAAATTGGGAGAAGGATTTGATGCGTAAGGATAACTGCTGGATTCGTAATCGAGAAGGATTGGATGCGTAAGGAAAACCGTTTGAATTCGTACACGAGAGAAAAAAAATTACAGCAGTGTTTCTTCTTCGATTGCTTTGGCCGTGTGCTGCGACTTGGTGGTATGCATGCACAACAGCAGGAACAACATACAGACCAGACCACAGCAACAGTAGAAGTTGAAAATGACGCCGACGAGAGAAAACTCCACTTGCATTGTAACCATCGTTCGCAAGTGTCCAACCACCCCATTTCGCCCTCGTCCCTGTACTCATGTGCTGCAGAGCGCCGATCCAGTGTCACCCCGAACATAAATTAACGTCTACCCTCCAGTGCATGTCGTTCTTGTCGGCGAAGCTCGAGGAGGTTTCAACCGGCCTTCCCTTCCCTCAAGTCTATCAACACCATTAGTCTAGCATCAGATTCGAAACGCGGGATAGACCGGCCTAACCGGGACTCGATTGATTCCCCAACCTTACCGAGTAATTTAGCCGATACATTTGATATGATGCTGTCGACGAGACCGTCGACGTTGTACATGAAGTACTTCGTACATGGCATTGGTAGGACCGCCTTTTTTTCGTGCATGATTTTGTTTACTACAGTATGCGCCTCCAACCACACACAGAGAAAGGATTCCTCGATTGAAACACGGGTCGGGTGCAAAGCTATATTTGACGGCATTTCACTCGGCCAGAGTCCACACTAACGTGGTTTGTGCCTGCAGTTTTCCCGTATACGACCGGTTTGGTTCGCGTACTCCGTTGAGCCCCTCGGTGTAGGTATTTTGGCCGGCCGTGCCTTTTTTGTTCCGATCACCCCGGAACAATCCTATCTCCGAAAACTACAGAACGGTGCCCCTCCGGCTGTTCTGAGGGTCTATTTGCACATGCATCACTCCCTTTCCTACATTTTTCGTAGTATTTCACAACGAATCCATCTCTGTTGATAGACCAGGGTCTAGGATAGATTAGCAATGAATTCATCGCGTTTAAAGGAGCACTACCTTCTGTTTGTACGATTCCCCAAGCAGCATTCAGCGACACTGTCTCCCTTGTGGGAAACAGGCTCTACAACATATTTCGGTGGCAATCTTGCACGGTACCATGTACTTCGAAGTATGCTACAAGGTCTCCCTTCAGGACGTGGGTGTCAAGCCTCCCGCGGGTGACGCAAGACCACACGCGCATTGCCCGAAAAAACGAGGGCCGTGTGTCTTGTTTGATGGGCAGTTTTGTGACGCTCGTATTCCACGCGCAAGTAGTTATTTTACGTTGGAACCAGCTCGACCGGACAACAACTTGCCAGCGAAAATATAACTCAGACTGCTAAGGTGTCTTGACTGATGATGGCAGATTTCCGATGAGAACCGAACCTGAATCCGAAACAACACCACAAAGAAACATGTTCGACATCGCGGCACATGCGCTAAGGCTTGTCTACGGCAGCAGCGTTTCACTTGGCCCGCTGGGAAGTGTAAAATACCAAACGTAGGTACTGTTGGACATTGCGATGACACGACAAAGAGCAGCGATGGAATCAATGAATGAATGAACGTGGAGATGACAAAAACCAAGAGGCAACTATTTCAAGATCTGTCGTTTTTGATGGTTTTCAGAAGCGATTCACCAGGCTTTGTCTGCGCGGAACGAGCGCTCGGGATATTGAGCCAGTTTTCGCAACTTTGACCGTCAGCCACACGCGCCACGGAGGCCTACCGAGCTCCGGGCACGAGCCTTACTGTACCAACGAGCCTCGTGCGTGCCCCTGAGAAAGAATCGCCAGAAAAGACTCGCCGCCGCGAGAGAACGAAATGCCGAAGCGTGAATAGTGACCAAATCATATTCCAGCATGTAAATGTGCTGGGAAGGTGTAGAAGGCAGGTGTTGTGGTGACCACATCCCTTTTTTACCTTCTTTTGTTCTTTGCGCAGCTTTGACAACTTTGCGGGTCTTGTGGGAGGCTTCTGCGCCGTCCCTCTGGCGCTAGTTTACCCCTCGGCCTTCCAGCTGAAAATGATGGGGGACTCGATGACCATGCGCGAAAGAGCGTGGGCGTGGACGGTGTTGGTGCTGGGGACCTTCGGAGCGGTCTTGTGCAGCTGGCAGTCCATCGCCACTTGGAAGTGAAGTTTTACGGGAGGAAGGGCGAAATAGTCGGAAAGCGCCCGTGGGCAGATTTTTTACCTCCGGTCCGTTCGTTGGTTCTCACGCCATAGAAGCAGCAAGCAGCCTCATGTCCAGGAAGCGACTCGCTTTAAATTCGTGAATCAGTCTTACTGTACGCATGTACGTGTGGTGACTCGAGGGAATGTGTCTCGAATATATGTGAGTGGGAGGTATTGAAGGTCGCGCGGAGTTCAATAGTTTGTTTTTACACTCGTGTGTACTATTTATGAGGCGTTCTTAATGTGCCGGTTGCGTGATTTCGTCCATTGCATGCGCGAGATGTTGAAAGTCGCGCACTAGAGAGACATGGGAGCCGCTTGATTTCAGTAGCTGTCAAGGTACTGACTTGGGGTGCGACTAATCTCAGTCCACACCACGTCAGGTCTGGCTTCCTTTCGTAGAGGTGCGTTCGGGTCACGCCGGGTCGGATCGGATCGTGATTGCGGGGAGGGGCCGTGCGCTGTGTTCCACCATTCCATCCCATCCCATGTCGGAAAATCCAAACCACATCTCAACATCTCAGGGGGCAGCCCCTCCGTGTAGGTCTAGCCCCATTCCGTCTCACGCTATCTTCGGCCTGCCTACATGCATATGTGTGCGCTGTGTAGATTGCATCAACTACCTACATCCCGGTATCCGGCGTCCCGGTACGGTTCTAGGCGCGGTACGGCTCAGTGGGAGGTATTCGGTGGTGTGTGGTGTATTTGTACTGCCGTGGTGGGGACGTGTGTTGTGCTTGTGAGTCTGACCTAGGTCTAGGTATGCATAGGATGGGGCGATATAGCAGGGGCGATGAATGGGCGAGTTGCACGGGTTGATGGGTCATCAGAAGATTTGCAGCAAGGGCCGCCGACTATGTAGCAGAATATTTTTGCTTGCGGTGTCTTTTACCGCTACAGCAGTCCAAGCCCGCTCGTTAGGCTTTTCTTTCGGGCAGATCGGAAAAGGTGCCGGGATCCGAATAGCCGATCTTTGTTTGCGTTTGAGGGGTATATGTACACGCGGAAGGGCTGTTAAATGACTGCTATTGCGATTGAGCGAAGAGAGGTGTGACGCGTACGGTGCCTACCTTCCAGCCGCACGTGAAACTGTGGTGCGTTGGTGTTTGTGCAACAGTAATATTTATCTGGGCACACTTAGCAGCTCCAGCCCCCCTTTTCGGGCACGCTATGCTGATGGTAAAGGCTGTGGTACGGGAGTGAATGCCGCTCTACATGGTGGCGAGAGCTCTCAAAGCGAAGAGTAACAAGCATCCATCTTGTCGCGGACGTCCACAAGACAGCTACCAACAAGCACCCGGACGGACGGTTAGGCAATAGCTGATGCTAGAAGCGTGCTCGCTTGACACCGGTGTTTTGTCTCCTTGATCCACTCTTATTTGCTCCTAGTACGGCCAGTGTCACACTAAAGCCTTCCTTCTATCTGAGGACTCACCATCCATCTCTGGCCGCGGTGTATCTTACTCCCTTACAAAGTGTTGACGGCATGAGTACCCTATGGAAACCATGAAGAATCACCATGTTGCCGGTTTTTCCGAACGTAGTCCCCCTTCGGAACATCTTGGTTGGGGTGACCGTACAATATCGTCCGTGCACATGATCCAACCGCGGACCAACAGCATCAAATACCTCAGGCAAAGGGATGGCACCGGTGGCTACCTAAAACGTGACATACCAAAACACGCGCGGTGAATTCGCAAAAATAGGGACTTAAAAACGACAGCTCTGCGGAAAAACACACAGAAGAAATAGCCTGCAGTACTTTTGGGGTGGACTCAAAAGCAGTTGTCGTGGCTTCTACTGCGGAATAGTTGTCGAAAACGTCAAGCCTCGGATGAAATGAGGCCTCCTGCCACTACGAAAGCGTGGAGAATCCACTAATGGGCCAAGGGTTACTGTCGCGTTGTCTTCACACTGAAAACTGTTCCGATCTCTCTACCCAGTACCTTCATCTGTCCGTGCTAGGCCAACACTTGACGCGGTCGATTCCCTTGGCCACAAGCTAACCTACTATCATTCAGTTAAAATGGACCCGAGGGTCCGCAAGTAAACAAAAATCAACGACAGACAGCCTAGAACCCTCCGTTGGCCTCTACACGCTATGCGAGGTACACATGGACTGGAACATCACGGGGCAGAGGGGTGTTTTTTTTCCCTGGTTCAATCTTGGTTCGCAGAAGAAAGGGAGTCGGTCATCATCTGGAAAGGAAGAGATGCAAAAAAGAAAAAGAAAAAGAAAACGAAAACGAAGAAGGGAAAAAAGAGAAAAAGTACTAAAGGAAGAAAACAAGAAAAGGCACACGCCAGAACCACCACCTTAGCGACAAACAGACGAAACAAAACAAAACACAACAAAACGAAAAGGGTCACCCGAGACAGCAAAGTCACGTCATCGCTCGTGGGGGGCTGGTGCAGTGGTGCAGTGACGGGGGGGGGGGATTAGTCAGTCGAGGGGCTCAATCCGGCACATATCGCGCCACTCGGTCCGCCTCTTCTAGTTGTCTTCTGTGCCGGTGGTGGTACCTCAGGCATCCTCCGTCGCGTGGAGACTAAAGAATTACGCCAAGGGTGTTAGATATACTCGCAGCAGTATCTGGTCGTGAGGATCCCAGGGGGATACGTGTTGGGAATTTCGTGTGTTGCAGGGTACCATCGGTGCAGTCACGGGGACCCTTTTGGCGTGGTTGGTGCGATGAAGCTTGCGTGCGTGCTGCGCTCATCTTCCTCTCTCTCTCCACCACCACCACCGTCTCTCTCCAATCAAGTTTCCTTCTCCCACTCTCTCTCCAACTCTCTCTCAATCTCTCTCTCTCGGCCTAACACGGCCGACTACCCAGTGCCCCAAGTAACGTCCAGAACGTGCTTGCTGCACCCCGCGTAGTTTACCTTTCACACTAGTGCGATATCACGGTATCTGCGCGCGGGCGTAGCCATCCGGGGGTTGTGCAGTCACGCGCAATCGGTAGACTCCCACAACACCAAACATCATGGAGGACATCGACCTCTCCGCCCTCAGCGGGGAAGAGCTACAACAAAAAGTGGAGGAGATCGTCCAGCAACGAGTGCAAGCCGGACTCGAAGCCAACAGGATCAACGAGGGTGAAGTCACCATTGCCCAACCACCAGCCGGCAACCCAGCCACTCCAACCGGCAACCCAGTCCCACCTACTGGCAACCAACCATCACCCTCCAGCCAGGGTACACCAGCCACATTCAACGACCCCAGCAGCGTCGCACACATCGTGGCGCAAGCGGCCAAGGCGACAGCTGAGGCCATCGCTCAACAACAGGGCTTTGCCCGCTCAGGCACGTTGCGTGTCAATCCAGGCTCAGAAATCGAACCTTGGCTTGGTAGTGTAAAGAAGGAGCAGGACTTGTACATTATGTTTGATATTTTTCGTGGTAAGATGATTTCATATTTTCAGGAGGAGGGTGTGCATGATGCGTTGGAACTGGAGGTCGAGGTCAAGGTCGGGAAGAGGGGTGTGAATGTAGGAGACCTTCGGAGGCTTTTTGGAAATGAAGTGGTAGACAAGTCTTTCAAACTGTGGAATATCCTCATCAGCAAGGTTTTGTATCCCCCGATTCAGAGCTTGATTCTGGCGTGTGAGAGTCCCCAAAAGGGCTGGAAAATAGTGACCGAGTTCTATCAGGAGAAAAAGCAGTCAGAAAAGTCGAGGTTGGAGCAGGACTGGAAGGAGTTGGAGATGAAAGACTCCGAGAGTCCACAGGATTACATTGCCCGCTCAGAGGCCCTTCGCCTGCGTCTCGCATCTGTAGGCACGATTAAGGATGAAACAGATGCCAACAAAGACATTGCTCGTGGCCTTCCCTCTTCGTTGTATGCCGTGCAAAAAGGAATACTGCTTGCCCATGATGTCCTGACGTTGCGTACCCTTGAGACTGTGGTGAGGGACGCCCACGTGGAGATGGAGCGCGAGAGGAGCAAGGGGGAGAGGCGCGAGGTGGAGCTCGCTCTCGCTGCGTCCGGCATGGGCCGGCGCGGCGGGGGCAGTGGGGGGGCATCCTGGGGTCAAGACGGCGGTCAGGCAGCAGCTGGCGGCCAAAATCGTGACGGAGAGAAGAAAAATAGTGACGTGTTCAACGACGACCCCGGCGGATTTTGCCGCTACCACCAGTCCGAGCTTCACACCAACGAGCAGTGTCGTCTCCAGCAGCAACTGCGGCGTGCGCGTTCGAGAGAGGGCGCCGAGGAACGTCGCTCGGGCGGGCGGCAGCCGCGGTGGCGGCGGTAGCCAGCGAGGGGGTAGACCGCCGTCGGGGCCAGGCCGCGGTGGCGGCCGATGGGTGAGGATAAAAGGGCAGCAGCACCACACCGGTCATGGTGGCGGTGGCTGGAGCCAAGCCTCACCCCCCCCGCGACCTCTTCGTGGACGTGGGCCTGGTGGTCGTCTGGGGCGTCACCCGGGGGGTCGTGGGCCCGCGGGACGCCACAGCAGCGACGGGCGTGCCGAGAGAGATCGGGCAGGGAGAGGCCCGGGGCACGCGCGTTCTGGTCACGGAAGAGAGCAGGCGTACGTTGTGTACTACGCCCACGATGATGGTGGCTACTACGAAGATTACGGCGACTACGACGAAGGCTACTCCTACGACGACGGCTACCACGACGCCGGATACGCCCACTACGCCGGCGGCGGGGACAGCTACAGCTACTCCTCCGGGTACGAAGACAGCCGTTCATCTGACGGCGGGATCCACTACGTCTACTACCCTCCCGCCGGTCAAGATTCATCATCCGAGCAGCCACGTCAGCCCCCCCCCGCGAGCAGCAGCAGCACCGCTTCCTCCTCGTCCTCTGCCCCTTCTCCTGGCGCGCCTCCATCTTCGGGCTACCTCCACCTCTGCACGGCACAATCGGTGCCCCTAGGCAAGTCTCACCCCGAAGATTTTTTTGATAGGATCGGAGTGACGATTGGAGTAGAGTCTGCTGCATCTGCTTCGTCTCTGCTGAGTGTTGAATCTAGTGACGGACCGCCTGGTAGCGAAAGATGGGTAGCTGATTCAGGTGCAAGCAACAGTTTTACCAACAGTAGCCTACACATGTACGATCTGCAGGAGATCCCCGCAAATAGAAAGTATGTCGTCGTAGGTGATGGTCGACTGCTAGAAGTGCAAGCTATCGGTAGCATCAACCTTAGTTTCTTTCAGGAGGATGAGAACGGTGAAGAAACGACGATGTGTGTTAAGCTGACTGACGTGTCTGTAGTAGAGAGCCTGAGCTTCAATTTGTTTTCAACGCATGCAGTTTCTCGAAAGCAACAAATGCTGCACGACGAGCGTGGTGCAACCCTCCAAAATGGACTGCTATTTTCTAGGGAGGAAAAAGCGTCTGCAGCATATGCCATGCGGTTACCATACGACCCATCTGCAACTATAGTAGACTCTTCTGCTTTGCCTGCATTCGTGACTGCCCCCGATTCCGCCCCCGCCGTTGGCTCCCACGCGTTCCCCTTCCCAAAAAGGGGGCTCCGCGGAATCATTGGTGTCCGTGTTGCGTTTTCCTCCCGCTGGCACTGCTAGCGTAGTACCTTCGAGTGAGAGCGTCACGCCCGCTAGTCCCACCAGCGTAGTACCTTCGA